GCTGGGTCCAGGTGCATTGCTCTGGAATAAATCAACAGAGCATTGGCATGTTGGTTTATGCTGCCTGTCCTGATGACATTGAAGAAAATTTCTTGGATGTTCTTCTCTCACTATTTAAGAAACCATTTTTTGCACAGGGGTGTATTAATGTGTTGAAATGTAAATTATAAGGAGAGGACTTACAGTGAATCTTGACAGGGATTTAGGACCACAGCCTGCTATAATTATGTGAGCACATTCACCTTGATTTTTTAAACATCTTTACAGGAGATTCTTACATTTCCTGTACTTTGTTCGTTAGAAATACTGAAGTGGTACAGAAGCAAATAGAGCATTTTACCTAAAGATAGCTTGTCTGTATCCTGATTTTCCTGATTACAACACTGTGCCCAATGTCTGAAACACTGTCTGAACCTTTCAGGGGACATTGTCTACTTTCTGGGAACTGAACAGGGATCCATATAAATGCCACCTATGCCCCTAAATAAGTCAGATGGATTTGGCTGAAGGTTTAAATGTGTGAGATTCTGCAGCCTTTTACCAGTACCCTGAGTCCTCCTCTTACCTGATCTGTTTTAGTGCCTAAAAGGAAATAATATCTCTCATTATCCCTACAAAATAATCTAGAAATATAAATCCAAAGGTCATCTAGGAAATCTCTCATGTTTGGTCTTTTTTCTGAAAAGAATCTTCATATGCTTAAACATCTTCACTGGAGCAAAGCAACCTGAAGAAATAATATTATTAAAGATGATACTCCCCTTTCTTCCTTTGATGTAAATTCTGAAGGAGTGCAGAAAAACAATTTTTAAACTGTCATAGGGCTTGGTTTTTTCTGAGTATTTACATTACTTGTCTGTTTGCTGATAAAATCCAAAAGATCCTTATAAATGACTCAAAGCTTGTGTTCCCCCACCACTTACTACTGTGGTTTTTAAATATAGTCCTCCTTGGCAGAGTAGTGCGATCATGGGAGTTAATAATCACATTTAGTGTTCTCTGGTGTGTCAGTACTTACACTGCAGCAATGCAGAGTTTGTTATTAATAACTGCAGTGGGAATGGGAGTTCATCCCACTGAGTATTTGGTAAATGCAGTACAAATGCTGCAGGACCATTATAAACAATCATTTCAAAGGCTGTAACTTGTCAAAGAAAAACAGATGAGGCTGTTGCACATGAGATTAGACACTGACCTAGCTTTGGGTCTCTGTAAATAAACAGAATCTGTAAAAGAGTAAAGGTAAAAAGGAAACGTGTCTTGGCTTGCTCTTCAGCCTTTCTTTTCATCTTTGGGACCAAACATCACTATTTTAATGGGTATTCCTTAAAATGATTGGAGAAATGAGAGTGTTCACAATCAGATCTTATATTTTACTTTTGATCTAGCTGAGGGCTGAGAATATTCAGGAAAAAGAAGAGGAGGTGGTTCCCTCCATGCAAGTCTTTGCTAGTAAAGATGGCAGATTCACAGTTTTGTCACTGCAGGGAACCCTTGGGGACATGTGGGAGCTCTGGGATCCCCACGGCTGTCCCACATCTACTCTGACACCTCAGAGGAAGCACAGAGTGGGGGGTGCCTTCAAATGTAAAGAATGCCCCTGCAAAGAAACATGTATGTAACATACTGGGATTATCTGTCTGGAAGAGGTTTATCTTCTGCCCACAAATTGTAGAAATTGAGTTATTAATGCTGCCAGACAGCAAATGTGGTTATTGCAGCCACAGACCAGAAATGTGCCAATGATTCCGTGGAACCAGGTCTGGAAGTGCTGTGACTTCGGCAAATTTGATTGGAGGTATGTTTATAGTATAAAGCAGAAGAGAGATGAGAATCAGCTCATTTTGTACAGCTCCTCTTCATTCCCTGACAGCCCTTCCTGCTAAAAGGCTTGTGAACAACAAACTTTGCTTATGGTAGGTGGAAAATAGCAGCAAGCCCTCTGATGCTAAAATTTATCCTCTGGGCTCTGAGCTGGGTCTCCTGTTGTTCCATCTCATTCCACATGTACAAGGTTAGAAGGTGAAGGAGGAGAAAAGTGGTTGTGAAAAGCAAACAGAAAAATTCCCAACAGTCAGGTCTGTTCCAATCACTGTGCCAAGGGGAAATCCAGTGCACAGTTTCAGTTATCAGCTGGCCAAGGACCAACTGGGGAACTTGTACCTGTTTTGTGAGTTCTCCCAAAATGACAATAATTGTTTTTATTTTAGAAAAGAGACAAAATAGTTCAATAAAATCAATGACATGTTGAAATGGCACCTGGGGAATATCCTGCCTAAAAGAGCTCTTTTAAGTTGCAATACATTTGGTATTTAAACTGCTTGAATTTTAACTTTGTCTGTGTTTGTCTGTAATTTGAAATTGCTCTGATGCTTATTGATAAATTTGATCTGAAACACAGTGCCTCTGTTGCAAACTATTGATTTGTGCATCACCTTTTAGCCAAGTAGGTTAATTGGATGGTGCTTGGGTAATTATTTCAGATGCAATCTCTGTCTAATATTTGCCTCCAAAGAGCTGATGGAATTGTTTGACATTTAGCCAAGATATTTCCTAAAACTGGAGCTTGAGCACTGGGACTGTGGAACTGATGGAGAGGCTAAAGGTACATTTTGAAGAAATTTTGTTTATTCCCTAATTATCCAAAGTAAACAAACCAAAGGCCAGGTCTGGCTCCACTAGAGTTAGTGGGATTTTGCCATTTTTTTCACAGTTGGCTGTTGGATTCCTGATGTTTTAGGGAACATTGGTACCACAGTAAAAGCACAGTGGTAATAGTCCAAAAGAAAGGTGTGCTGCTCTTTCTGCTGCAGAGCTGCTGTGCCAGATCAGCTGAGCACAGAACCACAGGTCAGAGGCTCAGACAAGTTTGGTGTACTCAGGAACAAAAGTAAAACATCTGCCAGCATGTACTCAATAATCATACAGGATTCTCCTAACTCTCCCATTTGTAAAGGAAAGCAAATGACAAAACTCTTTACTTCCAGCTGGAAGCAAATTGTTCTTAACTGGAAAATGATTCCTTAAAAGGTCACAGGTACATTTGGCCTGGAGAAATATTACTTAGCATTTGATTGATGTTAAGAGCTCCCACAAAGCAGTTTTAATTGTTGTGGGCTACCTGCCAGGGCCAGCATTCAAGAGTGAGCTAAACCCAGACTGAGCTCAGAATATGCTACAAGCTGAGCTGAGCTGACAATTTCAGAGCACAGAAACTCCAGTTGCAGCCCTGCAGGCCTCTCTCATCTGAGTGAGCTCTGCATAGAAGTTCTGATAAATCTAGCATGTGCAGCACTTAGTGCTCCATCTGTAGCTGATCCATAATTATTCATTTAAGAAAAGAAAATTAATGAAAATTTACTTTAAATTTGCCTATTCTCAAAGGATGTCTCTTTTTTGAAATTGGGAAGATATTGGAGGGGGGAAAACCCATAAATATGTTTACCTGGCCATATGTTTTACATACACATGGTCAGATTTTCTCAAGAGGTCAAATAATGCATCATTACCTAATGAAATGAAGAGGATTTTAACATTTCTTTAACAAGCAAATGTGGTGACACTTTGAACTGACCTGTTCTGAACATTTATCTCCACTTGGGACTGCTTTGAATGGAGTAAAATGGAACAGTTATTTGTACTTATCTCAGCATATCCCACTGGATACAATTCCCAGTACAATATACACCAAGTCCTGATTTTTATTAAAAAACAAGGGAGGCATTTATCAGCACAAGAGTCACCGCATTCCTCCAGTTCTGGTATGGCAGAAATTTGAGGTGGAGTGGCCACAGTTGAGAGTCCCCATGGGACTGTAACAAGCACAGCTTCTGCCCAGGTCCTCCTTCTGTGCTGGGAACTGGCCAAAATAGGCTTTCCTAAGTCCATTGCAGTTTAGTAAATCCCAAATCCAGCTTTAGCATTAATTTTTATCCACCCTGTAAGTCAAACATCTGAGACCTACTCCCAGTTCTCATTAAAATCAACAGATCAAACCTCTGAATTTTCATTGAGTTCTTGCTCAGGCAAAACCCTCAAATACTGGGTCATGATCCAGTTTCACATGAATCCCATTAATCAGAGTCTGGAATTGCCCAGTGTCAGTTGCTTCCCTTGTTTTAGGAGACAGTTCATTACGAGCTCATGCCCCAAATGTCACAGTTTGCTGTGACACAGAGCAAAGTTCATTTGACAAGGGGCCTGGCTGAGATGCAGGCAGTGTTCATTTCTGCATGGGTCTTAATGCAAAAGTGCATCACTGTCACATGAGGGTTCTGTGGGAGAATGGGAATCTTCACCTTACTGCAGGCTGAATTCCATTTTCATTCAGTGGGCATTCCTTACATCTTCATGCCACAAGCATCTTCTTCAAAAGAGAGAAGATGATACTGTAAAAACAGATCTTTTCAAGTTGAAAAAAATTACGTTTGGTCAGAATTGTACACGAATAGGATTCGTGGATCAAATAATTAACAATAAAATCTATGCATTTTGTCCATGATTCTGAAATTATTCAGTGCTTTGTTATGAATGTTAATTTATTTTAATCAATGGCTGCAAACAGAAGAAAATATGGCCTAACCTAGATGGCTGAACGCATTTTTGAAATCTTGATACATCCTTACTTCAGCAAGGATGTTAAGATGAGGATGTTAAGGATGTTAAGAAGAGGATGTTAAAATGAGGATGTTAAGGATGTTAAGAAGGACTTCAGTAAGATATTTTTATGTTTTTTGAGTAATTTTGACTGAAGTTCTAAAGCAGTGATTTCTAAGAATTACTCCACACAAATAGAGGAATATATGGCACTATTCGCTGTTTACTGGTGGTTACAATTTCGGTTCCTTTCCCGGTTCCAGCTCTCCGGGCCGTTCCCAGCCCTGCAGTGAAAGCTCGGGAGTGTCCATGCCGGAGGGAATGCTCGCCGGGCGGAACGCTCGGCAGGGCCCCGCGGCGGAACGCTTTGGGCGAGGGACGCGCGGCCGGAAGCGGCGGAGCAGAGCACTTCCGGCGCCCTCCCGCCTCGCCGCCCCATGGCCGCGTCCGTGGTGAGTCCGGGCCGGGCCGGGAACTGCCGGGAACCGCGGCCCGGGGCCGGGGAGCGCGGGGTGTCCGCCTCGGGAGGCTGCTGCGGCCCACAGGGCGGCCGTGGGAGCGCGGGGAGGCCGCCGGGAGCGTCCCGGCGCCGTGGGACACGGAGCGGGCAGGGCAGGGCGGCAGCGCCTCAGCACGGACTGCGGGCAGGGGCCGCTCCCGCCTCCCCGGGGTCCCGGCGCTGCGCGGGGCCCGTGCGGGGCGGCCTCAGCGTGTTCCGACAGGGGCCTTGGGGCGCAGGGGTGCTCGGTGAGGCCCTCGGCAGGGCCGGGTGCGTGGAAAACTGCTTGGAGTTGGCGCCAGAGGCTTGGAGAGGTTGATTTGGGGCTGGTTGTTGGTTGGATTTTTCAATTATGGCTTTCCTATTGAAAGCTTGGAAGGAGGGTTTCTGGGTGAGATGGTTGGGCGTTGGAACCCGAAGGAAGTGGGACCGTCTCCATGCTCGGAGATGTCCACACGTGGCAGGAGGCAGGAAGAGGACTCGGCTGTCAGAGTTAGCCCGGAAAGTGGATCAGCCTCTGGAGCCAGCTCTGCTTTGAAAAGGGACTAGGACCAGGTGATCTCCAGAAGTTTATTCCAGCCTGAACTGTTCACAGAGTTTAAAACTTTGTTGGTTATGGCTGTAAAATTTGCAAAACCGACAGAGCTGATTTCTTGTTAGACTTCTCTTGCAGGTACCCCAAGGGCTGGTTCCAGACTCTGGCACCCCTGCAGTGCCCTCTCACAGCCGCTGCAGGGGAGGGTTTGGGGGAGCTGCTGGGGGCTTCCGGGCCCTGCTGTCACTGCCCAGAGCTGCAGTCACTGCTCCCGGGGACAGCTGTGACACCCCAGAGGCTCTCCGGGCATTTCTGGGACTGGCAGTGGCCATTCTGGGAGCTTGGGAGCTGCTGGGCAGGGCAGGGAGGGGAAGAGCAGTTTGTGTCCATGCAGGGGGACAGGAGAGTGCACAGAAACTTGATTGGCTTTGTTGGGTAAACAGGGATTATTTGATAGGCCTTGGCTTCTGTTCAGAGTGGAGTTTTCTTGTGTTAACACTGGAGGGATTCCTGGTGGTTCTGGAGAACATTCAGTGAAAGCAGCAAGAAAATACAAGCAGTGAAATTGCTCAGCACTGGTTGAGTTGCAGATACTGAGAGTATAGTACTGAAATAGGACAGTGATAAATAATAGCATTTTAAACAATTGATAAGAGAATCAAATGCAGGTTTATGGATGTATGGACAGGAAATTCAGGATCTGCTTTCTAGGATGTCCCAGTTCAGGGTCTGTAAGAGATGCACAAACTGAGCCAATAACCCAGTGAGATCCCAGTGCAGTGGTGGGACTACAAAGGCTGTTACCTGGGGGTGAATCCAAACAGAGAGGTGTGAGGAACATGATGAGGGGTGAGGAGAAGTGTTTGGATTTAACCTATGGGTTAAACCTGATCCATTCTAGAAGGAATACAGCCAGATGTTGGTGTTCTCTCTCACTATACTTTATATTTCTATAGATAAAGGTATGTTAAAAATGAGATAGGATGGCAGTGTCATGGGGTTCTTGCTAATTCTCAGAAGTATCTGAATAAATCTTATTCTTTAACTTTATTTCAGAGCAGCCATCACAGCAACAACTCTTTTCCTTGAATAATTGTGTGGCCACACTATCTGCAGCCAGTTGTAGCCCATTTTCCAGTCTAAATATTTGTAATTTAAATACAATAACTATATCAGCATTCAAAACTAATGCTGAAACTGTCACCTGCCTAACAGCTGGTACTTCTGCAAGTAGAAAAGGAGCTTAGAATAGATTCAACATGATTTGAAGTCAAAGTGACTTGCAGGAGAAATTGAGTCAATCATTGGATTGCATAACTAAAATTTGATCTGATTTCTTCCCTGCAGGATTTCAAAACCTATGTGGATCAAGCTTGTAGAGCTGCAGATGAGTTTGTCAATATTTACTATGAGACAATGGACAAGAGGAGAAGGGTATGTAGCTGTTTTGACAATAGTTAAAACTGTCCTGGCACTGTTTGTTTGCATTTCTGGCTGTCATTACACAGAGAGCACCTGAGCATGGTGACCATGGGCTGCCCTGGCCATGGCAGAGCAGGGCAGCTGCTCCTCAGCTCCTGCAGAGCATTTTGTCTCCTGTGCAGCCTTGCTGGAAAAGGGGCTGCTCAGCAGTGCCTTAGACTTCTCATGGCCCTGGTTCACCTGGTGTGCAGCTGTGTCTGCAGCTGCAGGATTTGCTCAGTCCAGGGCAGCAGAACTTGCTTTGTTTCCCCTTGAGGTCAGGATTTAGGTTTTTTTCCCCCCAAACCTCTTTCATTAGCAGTTACCACTTTGGGTTCTGGGGTTTTTCTGAGTGCCTGAAGCTGAAGCAGTACAGCTGTGTTTGCTCTGCAAGTCTTCCTGGAGCACACTGATGGGGAACCATGTGACAAATGTTCACCAAAAGAGCCTTGGAGACCAATCCTTGGAATTTTAAATGTACTGTAGTTGCAATTCAGTGTGTGAAAGTACCAGCAGTCCCATGTTACTGCACACATGACTGGGTTGTGTCAGCACCTTGGAGGAGAGTTGGGCAGTTACTCAGCTCTGACAGCTTATGAAACATTTGGGAAGTTCTGGTTTGCTGCTGTGCTCTTCAAGTTTCGCCTGTTCCTGGTCTTGCTCAATTTTTTTTTTTTTTAACCTGAAATTATAATTTCCTGACCTAAACTGTGTTGTGTGGACACTTTCCCTCTCAGAAGAAAAAAAAAGAAAATCAGTGATAAATTTACAGTGGAAAGTAGCACTGTCCTTTTGTTAGCAACCACTTCAGTTCTGTCATTACCTTTGTTAAAGGGATGTTATCAATATTTGAGCTATGAGTCACTGTGCTACTCAGAAAGGAAAATGTGTTAGTTTTAATTCTTGGTCAGGAGCACTGGTTGTTAAAAGGAGCTACTGTTTCAGGAAAGCATTTTATCTGTCAAACTAACAGAAGAAATCAGTAATTCACAGTGTAACTTCTGTATGTTGTCCATTATATGTTTGTATATTTTTCCTAAATGTGTATTTTCATAATCACTCAGGCTTTAACCAGACTGTATTTGGACAAAGCAACATTAGTTTGGAATGGAAATGCAGTGTCTGGGCAAGAAGAACTAAATAAGTTTTTTGAAATGTTGCCATCAAGTGAATTCCAGGTTAATGTGTTGGACTGCCAGCCTGTTCACGGTAAGGTTGTATTATAATTTATTTAGTTCTTTTTCATTCTTTTTAACTATTGAAAGGGAGCAGTTATTATAGGGCTTAATAATTCCTTTGGAATAAGCTTAGAGAAAATACCAAGGGTTGAAATATCAAGTTGTGCTTAAATAAAGCACAAATCAAGAGATGCAGCAATTAAACACTTTTTTTCATGTCTGGGAAAATACTTTAAGGACTTTTTTTGTTTAGATCATATTCAGATGTGATCTATTTTCATGTATGGAAAAAGTCTGGCTTACCAGGTTATGTTGTGCTTGGGAGACCCCTATGGTGGCCTCTTGTACTGACCTGCAGTATCATGTGAACAAATGGTTATTAACCTGTGTGTATTTTGGTTTCTTTACATCTAGAATAGGTGTTAAGTTCTTTAGATTTTTGATTAACAACTCCTAAACTCAATCTCATAATTGAGAAATTAATAAATGGCTTCTAATGGACATTTTGGGAATATAAGAAAGGGAAAAGCCTGTGGTCAAACACACTTGCTTTGCTCTGCTGTGAAAAAGATCATTTCTAATAGTGGGAGGGGAAAAGTTTATGCAAGTTGCTGAATATCTCTATGTGTGTATATCTGGAGTAATGAGAGCTCACTCTAAGCACAAATGGAGGTGTTTGTCAGTGCTCTAAAATGAAGAGCAGGAGATGAAAGTGGCAAAGCCATTGCCGAGCCGTGTTGGTGAACGCACCGCTGTCTGTGTAGGAACGCTGCACCAGAGCTGCACTCCCCTGCCTGTACCCAGCTGTTAGCCTGGCGCAGTGTAACCACACTTGAACCAAGCTTCTGTGTGCATTTCCTGCCTCTTTACCTGCTAGTCTTTGTTTGAGTTGTTTTCTTCATCATTTCATACCTCCTTGTGAAGAGCAAGCTACTCAAGGCCAGACAACAGTCCTCGTGGTGACAAGTGGGACTGTCAAATTTGATGGGGATAAGCAGCGCTACTTCAATCAGAACTTCCTGCTGACAGCACAGGCCACCCCCACCAACACCGTGTGGAAGATCGCCGGGGACTGCTTCCGCTTCCAGGACTGGGCCAGTTAGCAGGGCTGGCCTGGCAGTGACCTCTCCCCTCTGGCACCACCACTGCACTGTGCAGGCAGCTGTTCCACGGGGGCTGCGCGCTCTTTGTGTTGCATCTGATGTTACGGACGGGCTGCGGATGTTTCGGGGTTGATTCCAGTGACCACAGCTGTAGTAATAAAATGTGAGAGGTTGCTCGTGTTAGTTGAATTTAGTCAAGTGCTGAAGGCAGTGAGCTGTATTCGAATCATTCCTAAAATGCCTTACATGCAGCTGTGCTGCCACTGCTGAGTGCTCAAACCGTTCTGTTTGAACACAGAATCCTATTCGTGTACAATTCTGACCAAACGTAATTTTTTTCAACTTGAAAAGATCTGTTTTTACAGTATCATCTTCTCTCTTTTGAAGAAGATGCTTGTGGCATGAAGATGTAATTTTGAAAGCTCCCTGCTCCCAGTTGTGAGAGGCTGGGAAGGATTGCTATGGTTTCTACTGTTAGTGAAAGGAGCAAATACAGCTCCTAAGTTTGTAATCTCTCAATCCATTGGAAAGGTAATGTTTACCTTCTCTGATGCCAAAGGACCATATATCTTTGGGTTTCCTTTCAGTCTGAGCTTCCCAGACTTTGGTTGTTAATTCCATGGATTCAAATGTAGGGCATGCTGAATGATTCGGAGCTCCTGTGCCAATAACTCTTCACATGCACGTGGAGGGCTTCAAACTGATTGTTTGTCTTTTGCAGTCTTATCATGGCCTAGAAATAGGTCACATACATGCTTTCTGGCTTTAGTTCTGCATTCTGTTGCTATGAGGTTTGGATTATTTTTCTCGTATTAAGTCTGCAAGTTTTGAATCCTTTCTGTCTTTTCAAGAAACATTGTAGTTAAAAAGTGGCACTGAAAGTGTGCATTACTGTGAAGCCTTCAATTTTTCTCATCAGTACTGTTACTCAGAACAGGTGCTTGCATTATTTTCAATTGAGAACAGCAGCTCTGCACCACTAACACTATCTTCCTCTCATGCAGATTTTTACTGTATTTTTTCACGTTCTTTTTAAAAATTGCCTTTAATTATTGATTATGTGGGGGGTTTGTGTGTTTTGCTTTAAATTTGTAGTTTAAAGCTTCCAGCTGCTTTGAAATACTTTTCAAGACTGTAAGTTAAGAGAGTCCACCTTTGGAATTTAAGAGCAAATCTGAGTATCAGCAGCTTTGTTTTAAACTGGTGTGTTTCTGTTTTAAGCTAAGTAAACAAAAAAACAAACCCAAAATGTAGCTGTATAGCTGTAGCTGTATCCCTGAGTATACCCTTGCTTGTAACTGAAAGTACAGGAGGGGAGCTTGTAACTCATCATAGCCTATGTTTCAATGACAAGAGCAGTCTGAAAGCAGTTACAGCTGCAGCTCACTTGTTCGGTGACTTAAATGGAGAAAACTGTGAAAATGAGCAATATCTCACTTGGGTAAAACATAAAGTATCTGTAGTTTGCCATGTAATCCCACAAACAATGGGATGTTTAGCTGAAATGAGTGGCTTTATTTCCTTTTCAGGCCCTCTAGTCTGTACACCAGTAAATTAGAATTAGTAACCTGTCTCTGTTTAGAGGCTGTTTATGATCAGAACTATTGTGTACCTATTTTTCAGGCTGAAGAATTTGAATTCCTGCAGAATAGTGCAAGAACAGAATTTTTGAAAACTGTAAATATTGTAAATACATTGTTATTTCTGTATGTAGTGAAGAAAGGATCATTCTATTTAATTACTGTTTGTTCTTAAGAGAATATGTGATGTTCATATATTTGTATTTCCTCTAGAAGATTGAAAAGAAAACATAACCTGAGCATGCCTGTAACTGGTACAGCATTGTTGAGCTGTGACACTGGCGTGGTGTATTCTCCTGGCTCTTTAACTTGCTGTTGATTGTGTAAGTGGTGTTACAGATCTGCTTTGCATACACAAAACAGGTTTTGCCTTTTCAAATGCAGCAATGGGTGCAGCTGTGGCATTGGCTTGTTGGACTTTGAAGGCAGTCACCAGAACACACACTTATCAGTACCTGATAAGCTTGTGCTGTGAATAAATACTTATTGGATATTTTTATCCAGGTTTGAATTTGTATAATAATTTTTAAGCTTTTTCTAGGCAGACTGGGAGATTCAAAATATATGAGGCAATGTTTCAATCAATCAAAGGTTATTCTCAATTATTTTCATGCTATTTAAATGCAAACTGCTTTTAAATCTGACTTTTGCAATTAATATTGAAAAAAACTGACCAAACAAAAACCCCCACCACTACCTGGAATATGACTGAGGAAGATAACTAACTGGCCTAGCTGGACAAACCCAGTTAAAAGTCCTACTAAGTAAGATCTGTAGATGGAGTAGGAGAGTAAGACTTGGTATGCAGACCCAGGAGTTTTGTAGGGAAATGCACTGGAACACAATTGCTTCAGGCCAGGGAGAGGTGCCAGTTACTCCTGCCTATTTCCATCATCTTCAGTGAGGATCACTTGGGTGATTCAGTACTACTATAATTAGCTCTTACTCTTTAGAACTGAACATGCTGGTTTGCAAAATATTTTTATTTATTATACCAAGTGAGATTGTAGCTCTTAGAGTCAAGTGGTGGTTTTACAATGGAGTAACTAATGGCACAAACAAAAAAATCTCTTTGTTGCTAGCTCTGTGCTGCTTGTTAATATTCTGTGCTGAAATTAGGAGAAAACACAAAAATGCTTTCATTTAATTCTGTACAAACCCATCCAGCTGGTTTGGTGTGACCATTGCTGACTCTACTGCAATACCCAAAATTTTCAATGGGCATCTATGAAATGAATGTTTGTACTCCAAACACTGCACTGGAGTTAATGCTTCCATTTTTTCGTTCGAGACCAAATTACTCCTGTACAGCCAGTCAGTGAAACAAAGCCAGCTGAAGAGCTAAGCACTTCCACTATGAAATTGTAGCAACTGAAGACTTGAGAGATCTTTTTGTATGTTCCCTGTATTGTCTATAGCAGTCACTGCTTTTCTGTTGCTTTGTTTGTTTGGCATACTACAGTTCAATGGATTTCAAATGCCTATGTTGGAGAAAAGGGATTTGTACTGATGCTATGGATGGTTTGTTCTGATATGCCTGTGCTTCCTTAACCTGTCTGGAGAAAAGCACATTATAAAGAAATGCTGTTTTATCAGTAAAAGAACTTTCCACACTTGAATATATTTTGTAAGTTTATGAAATTGTTTGAGACCTCTTGTAAGATTAATTTTCACAACTGAGAGAAACAACCAAACAAAAAAACAAACAAGAAAAAAAAAGCACCAAAAAACCCCAACCCTACCAGTTACTCTACCTTTTTTTTCTTTTATTATTATTATTACTAGAAATTTTCATAGCTTGTTCTTATGATATTAAAAGTACAAGAAATAATTTGTGGCTTCCTTATCTTTACTACTTGTGTGGTAGGTCTGAGTTCTGATTGTTGCTGAGTGGTGCTGGGGCACTGCAGAACAGGCTGGCAGCTCTGCCAGGGTAAAATGTGTCTGGAATAACCCCATGGCAAATGCCTGGCCAAAAGCACTCAGGCAGTAAATGTTGAGCTGCCCAAAGCAACTATGTCAAATTAACATTTCTCTCTAAGATTTACTGAAGTTTAGACTGTTCTCCAACACATACCTGGATGAAGTCAAACAAAATTTGAGCCAGATCCTTGGGTTGTAAATATTTTCACTGAGAACATGTTGTGCTTCTGCTGTTTCTTTAAGAAGAAATGAAACACTGAAAGGAGAAATGCTTTTTGTGATAATTCCAGTAATTTATTCACTATTTTGCTGTTTAGAAATTAAATTACTGATGCACACTTGCTCAGTGTAGACAGCAGCTTTTAAATGCTGACACTGCAAAGATGAAGATGCTCATGCAAGGTCAACAGTTGCATGGAAACTGAAATTGTTCTAGAAATGTATTCTGGAAACTACCAAATATATTGGAAACTCCTTGCTGTGTTTGAGGGTATAGATTTCAGTGAGGCTTTGCAGGCAGTTACCCTTGGTAATGATCCTGAGTAAGGCTCTGATGCAGTGTAAAGATTTATGAGTGCTGGGAAAAATAAATCAGCTGAGACCAGAAGATGTTTTTGCAGGTAGGTTGAAAGTGGGTCCAGAAACTGCTCTTTCAAAATTGCCACTGGGCCGAAGAAAAGAATTAAAGTCTTCCTAGAAAAGTGAGCTTTTCTTGTTTGTTCCAAACTGCAGAAAGGTAGGACATTGATAGCTGGGCTTGCTCCTTCAGAAGACTGGGTTTAATAATATAAATAAATCTATGTTTGTGTCTGAATGGACTACAGGCACTAAGTGACCATTTTGCCCTGCATCAGTAACACAAGTGCCTTAGAATATCCTGGTGATGACAAAATTGTGTTGGATTGCAGTGGCTGATTTTTGTCTTCTTGCAGCCTGTTTTAGGTCCCAAACCCCAGTGGGTTTGCATCCTTGTGGATTTTCCAACCAAGGAAAATGCAGGTCTGCCCAAATAAAGGCAGGAAAGAGCTGGTTGTAGTCACAAAATCACAGAATGGTTTGGGTTGGAAGGGACCTTGAAGCTCATCTCCTTCCAGCCCCTTGTCATGAGCAGGGACACCTTCCACTAGACAAGATTGCTCCAAGTCCATCCAACCTGGCCTTGAACACTTCAGGGATGGGACATCCACAGCTCCCCTGGCCAGCCTGTGCCAGGGCCTCACCACCCTCACAGTGATGAATTTCTTCCTGATATCTAATCCAAACTCTCCTGCAGCAGAACATCATTCAGCACCCAGCTGAAAAACGAGAGCAGGTCAACAGCAAAAGCCCTGGGCAGGCTCCCAGAGCAGCTTTGCTGTTGAGGGCACACAGCAGAGAAAAGGGAGGAAGTTTGGAGGGAACAGTGCTGGGGAATTGGAGCTTGAGCAGCAACAGCTGTGCTGGTCTGATGCCCAGGGGCAGAATTAATTGGGGTCATTAAGTTGGTAATCAGCTACAGAGGCTCATTTCCTTAATCAGAAAGGCCTGGGAAGAACTGAATTTTACCAGGTGAGTTCTGGGTGGTTCCCACTGTGACTGGGCTGGAGAGGGTTGTGAGGCCACAGACAGGTGAGTTTTCTTCATACTTTTTTCCCCTTTCAAAGGTCTCTGTCCATAGTTAGGGGTTTTTTGAAATCCTATGAATGCTCTGAGGGTCTTGAAGTTTTCCCTGCTCTCGGGTTGTTTATCTGGTAACTCTAATTTCACTTGTCATTATTCATAGAGGTGAGTGTGGCAGTTGCATATGTTAGAGATTCACAACTTTGCCAGCATTTAGAGTAGTTTTTATCTTGTGCAGTTTCTTTGCTCCTTTCCAGAAGATGGCTGGGGCTGATAACTGTGGTCTTGTCCATCTTCCTCTCATTGTTTTTGGAGGAAAAGCTGTATTTTAACAACAGACCAGAATGAGTACCCATCTGAAAAGGCAAAATGCCATAGTATTAACTTGGGGTTTTCTATGTAAACAGCATTAGGTAAGGGTGCAATACTGAGTTAAGGATTGAAAGAACATTGGTTGATTTTCCATAATGCTTCTCTTTTAAAATTGTTTCAGGAGGAATGCTAATAAATGGGATGTTTCTGTAGCAACACAAAAAGAAGTCCCAAGGTGAGAGCTGTCCCATTACATAAAAAGCAAGCAGGTTCTGGGATGAAGTAAAGGCTTTGGGAAGGAATTTCCATAAGCTGTGTAGGGGGGCGAGGCTGGTGTTTTGTTTTGTTTTGAACGTGGGGGCAGAGGGGCCCTGGTTTAATGACCTTGATTAAATGCCATAGAAATGGGCTCACTGGGAGAGATTGTGTTTGCTGCAACTCAAAAGGCAGAAAGTAAACTAGGGCAGGCACCTATAGAGAACAGTGATCCATTCTTCATGCTCACTCCCTGGGGAGCACAATAAGTAATAGGCTGATTTATATCTGGTAGGAAAGTTTGAGTTCCTTGTGTAAAACAATAAAAAAACCCAGAAAGAACTCCCAGGGCTGGAACAACATGTGAACTGAAGTAATGATTTCAATTTACCTGTTAGAAGTAGTCCAAAACTGTTTCAAATTGAAGTGTCTTTTTTGTGGTTTAAAAAAGTAAAACCTAAATGACACATTCTTGTTTTAGCATTTAAATTGATAGGAGGCCATGTCTTGGAGAGATGGGCATTCCTGCTCAGGGTCTGGATGCTCAGAAATAACAGGGATGACACAGAGGTGATGGGCAAACTTCTGTACTTGGACACTTGTGAGGGTAAAAGCAGAAATAAGC